TTACCAATTTGAGGTTTTTAGATAGAGCCATGGTTTAGTCAATGAAACGCGGAACGTGAGATTGGCTAATGGTAATTAGTTCTCCTGAGGCCTTCAAAAAGCATAAAATAAGCCAAGGATATAAAAGATATTTGGGTAACAGCTCAACCATGGCTGAGCTGTTAATGTTTGTGTCTCTGGAGACAGAAGACGGTTATTAGAAGCTGATTTGAGATGATTTCAAAGAAAAAGTTTGATCAGGATGACTTTGTGCTTTAGTTCAGTGTTTTTCCCAGTGTAAGTCCTGCTGTGCTTTCAGGTAAATATGAAGTATTTAATAGATGGGAGGTTCTCATACTGGGAGTCAGGACCCTCACAACAGGTCACAATACACCAAGCTGGAGGTTGCAAGATGGTGTTAATAATCATGATGCAGGGCCAAATGATATCATGAAATACATTATTGTGAATTTGCTATGAAATCAAAAAATGTAGCATAAAATAAGTGGATGCAACATTTATGTAAAACATTAGATTGTAAAATGCACAATTAAACATGTAAATGTCTCATTAAATTAAAAATAAATACATTTTAAAATAAACTACTAAATGGCATTTAAAAAATAAATGTATTTAGAAATGAATGTTATTATTTCACTTTATAGTTAAATATAGAGTGAAGTAATAAAGGGGATGTGTTTTTCTAAGGGGGTTCCCAATCTTCTGGGTTGGTTTTTTTGGACCACAGGCTGAAATATTAGATGATATTAAACATGTTTTGCGTTTTATTTTTTTTAGTTGTATTTTTATTATCTATTTTAAAACTTTGGTGGTAATATTTCAGCAAAGTCTGGCTCTAATGTGGTAGAGCTCCATTTTAATGTTAGAAGGTTTGTTTAGCCATATGGGGTGAATGAACATAATATTAAAGTTAGGGTTAGGGCACAGATCTCTATTTATTCACTGGATTGCTGATTGCCTGTTGGTAGTCAGGGGTTGAAGTGAAGCCACCGGCCGCCATATTGGTACTCTCTAGTTAGACCGGTCGCCATGTAAACAATGCGCTACAGCATCGAACAACCATGTTCTTATTTTCAGGTGGGCTTAAGACTTTTAAAATAAACATAAATTCATAACTTTGACAGAAACTGGCTGTTTCATAGCATCAGTAGATTACTTTATAATTAAAAAAATAGGCACATCATATTGCATCATTATGAAGTCAATAAAGTCTATAAATCATGTAATATAACATATTATACAAATTAATTACAATAAAAGGAATGTGTTAATTAAGCATAATAATACAGATGTGCCAAAAGTGCTAAATTGATGATGTAGAAGTAATATGCATGTATTGATGAAATTTGTTGTTATAATAAATTACATATAATTTCAAGATTTTACATCAGGACTGAATTACAAGTACATGTCTTTTAATGCTATAGTATTTTTGTATTTGCAGATTATGCATGAATGATGCCTTAAACTCTTATGCTGTGTCTGTACATTAGCCTTTAAAAATGTTTGAGTCGCTTTTTTTTCCGTCAATATAACATGCAATATATTTAAGCACATGACTTTTTCAAAGGAGAAATACAACAAACACTACGAAAACAACAGCGTTATCCGCTTAATAAAAAATTACTACAATGACATTTCACAATGAATTACTTTCTATTTACGCTACTTGCTATTTTCCAACATTAGACACAATGTCAATTAGTAATTAGTCATTATCTTTGAGTCAGTCTGAGATAGCCAGACTAATGTTAAGCTACATACTATACTATAGGATACCTTGGAGTATATTTGGATTTTATTGGTTAGTACATCCACTGATTGTGAAATTACCTGTGAAACGTTTTCCTACAGCTGGAAAACTGCTTGTTTGTGCAGTCAAATACTGCACAGGTAGGCATTTTTACTGCTCATCTCTGCGGGAGTGGGGAGTACCTAGCCTGGTGAGACCATCCTGATCTCGCGAGCTTTCAAG